ACACATTCGATGACTATTCAGATTATGTTTACGATGTGTCATGGAGTCCTGTACATCCAGGTGTATTTGCTTCTGGTGATGGGACTGGATATATATCAGTGTATGGAATGTGAATCATGAGCCTGAAGTGAGTGTGGTTCTTGTTCTCATTACTTTATTGTGCTTTGATTGGTGTTCTTCATATATTTCACTCTTTTTTTTCTTGATTAGCTCTGTGTTATGTTTATCTTTTTTTTTAATATAGCAAAAATATTCATTCAGACATCTATAGAACACAAAATCCAATTGAGCCAGCCATCAAAGAATATCCCCTTTTCGATAAATTCCTCCGCCTTCTCCTCCTCTCCTGGCTCTACAATTATATCTATATATGCACTTCACCTATTTGGGAAGTTGTATTAGCACCAACGGACTGATTGGAGACGAAATCTCAGCACGGATCCGAAAAGCTTGAGCTGCTTTCGCTAGCTTACACCATCTCTGGAGTAGGCGTGATATCCGGCTGGCTATCAATCAAGGGACGTGTGTACTGCTCACCAGTTCGCTCCGTCCTTCTCTATGGCTCTGAAACATGTCCAATACGAGTTGAAGACATGAAAAGGTTGACTGCTTTCGATCAAAGATGTCTGCGATCTCTGTCTCACGTTAGGTGGTTTAATAAGGTAAGTAATGTTGACGTTACGCGTAGAGTGTTGGGCAGAGAGGGAAAATCAATCGACGAGGCTATAAAGTTACATAGACTGAGATGGCTAGGTCACGTGGTGCGCATGCCTAACCGTCGCCTCCCCCGACGGGCATTGCTAGCTGATATAGGTGCAGGTTGGAAAAGAGCCAGTGGTGGCCAAACAAAAACATGGCATCAATCCATGAAATCCTCTACAGTTAAACTGAGTCAGGTAGATAGGGAGATGCAGACTCCCGGGTTGGGGCCCTCTGGACTGACTCTAGGAATCAATCAGTGGCTGGAGACAATAGGTGACACATGGCTCAAAGTGATCGTTGTCAATGGCCAGCGCACATGTATTCAGTCTCTGTAATCTTTCATATTCATATTTCTACCATTACCCATTCTGTTTCACTCTTATACTTGTCAGACTCTATTGATTCTCTTCACTAATCTTCTTGTCTAACTCTGTGTGGTATTTGGAACGTGGCAAGTCGAACTGGTGCACTACGGTGTCAAGTTCTATGTTGAATCCAGACAGACAGATATATGCAGGCATGTTTATATATACATAGAATATTCTAGATTAGTAGTGGTCCATAAGAATATTAGTGTTTTTTTTAAATAATATGGATTTGTAAAGTAAGATCACAATGGAATCACCACCGAAGTTCATTAAAAATGCTTAAATAATAATAATAAACATATAGTAGGAAATAGAATATCAACTCAAAATTAAGAAAATTCCACAACAAATTCAGGATCATTCAAACCTGGATGGATGACCAAGCGGGTAATGATGGATACTGTCAGAACCAACCAACTTCTTTTGGATGCACATAAATTAGGCTTGTCAATATGGATCCCAACGGCCAGTCAGCCTCAGAAATATTTCGTAGTCGAACTGTTAAGGCGGAATTGAAATTTGTTGGCTGGTATGCGGTAGGTAAATGACCCTGAAAGCCGCCTTGTGAAAATCAATCAGTCTTGTGTTCTGCACCCACAAGATGAGTGAGATGGATAGAATAGCGCTGAGAATAGATTTTATTTATCCTTTACTTAACCAACCAACCAACCAACTAACCAACGACTGTGCAGGGTGATGTTCGGACATTCGACGAGAAACACGCCTAATTGTGTGTACGGCCTATGCAGCATATTCGTTGGATTCTACTGAAGAGGCACCTTAATAAGGAAGGCCCTTTCAATTATAGAAAATCTACCTGGACAGGACAGGATAGTATCTTAATTACCACAGTTTCTGCCCTCTTCAGTACAAAAGAGCCTTCCTTAGTGAGTGAGGTGCCTCTTCACAGTAGAATGCAACGAATATGCACTGAAGACAAACACATTAGTTGATGAAGAAGAAAGTAAGTTGACACAACTATGCTCTGATTGATAACAATTATCCAGACAAGTTCAGTAGGAGATATAAAGGTTAATTCAAATGTTACCATTTCCTATCGTAATAGGTATATAGATGCTTGGTTAATTAGTCCATTATTATAAAGGTTTTTGTATTTTCTATAGTTTGGTTTGTAAGGGTTAGTTATGTATTTTTTTTACGATTTGATAACGGATGGATATCAGTTAGAGAAGCATTGAAAACTAGCATTGCGGTGAGTACTGGACAGAGAGCTGTTTCATCAACCTAGTTTGGGAATCATCGGCAGTACGCACCCACTACACCGGGCTTCGAACCCAGGATCTTCCGGTTACAAGGCCCGCTAGCTGGCTGGCTGGTTGGCTCGTATACCATTCAGCCACCACTCACTGGGACCGGATTCTTCAATGACCAGCAGCCAGTGCATGAATTCTTACTTCTATATATATGCACACTTAAACAATGACTGATTTCTTCTACTCATCATTGAACAGAATGTTTTAGATCCCTGGATCATATTGTTGACTGATCACTTTGCAGTCGTCGTTAGTAGACTTCACTGATCGGTGTACTGTTTTACAATTGAATTAAATAATAATAAAAAGAAAGAAGAGAACACGAAGTTCAGAAAAGATGATGACGGACGATCTTTTTGGAGATTTCATTTTTCAAAAGTAGCTCTACAATCGCATTGAAATGCATAATTTCACATGCATACAAAACAATTCTTGTTTGATTCCACAGTATTACGATGGCGAATGAAAGGTGACAATTATTATTTTCAACTAGATATGGTTTTTACGAGGAAAGGCTTAGAAACAAAATTACACAAAATGATTAGAACGGATAACAAGTGTGTAAAAATGGGCGACGAGCATGAAAACAAATTGAAATCAAAATTTTTCAACTTGAAATGGAGGCGGCTGCTAAGAGGTGCGAATGAATATAGATTACAAGGGGCATAGAAACACAAACATTGCACAGGATTAAGATATCATTGTAAGAAAAACGATTCACAGATTCCATTTCTGGACGTGAAATTAACAAGAAGAGATGATGGAACCGTGAAGAGAGGTGCATCCACAGAAAACCGACGTGGAACGGCCAAATAACTCATTTCTATGGTTTCTATACCTTTGAGCCGAAAATGAGTTCTCATCATTGCACTAACCCCATCGCATTAGAAAAATCCGAAGCAGCTATGGCGTGGAAGAGGAGCTCCTATTTCCTGAAAAAAAAACAAATATCCTGGCTCAAAATGGCTACCCGACACGTTTTGTCGAAAAGAACATGAAACCTGAACCAAAAAGAAAAGAATGCAATTCAGCGCCATTCAAGAAAACGCTGTATCCGAATCTGAATTTCAAGGGAGATTTGACAGTCGATATCCTGAAGAGGAGAATATTCAGCTCTTTAATGAAGACTTTCCCTGCAGCAACACACTAAGAGTGACATTCTCTAGCCGTCCAATACTTCGAAACAACGTGAAGTACAAACTCTTGCATATGACCAATTCAATGTGTATATGCCAGTTGACCTGGTCTTGCGGAGCTAGGTATATAGGTAGTTGTATTCGCGTCCTTTCAAAACGTGTTAGAGAACATTAACCACCGTGGGTGTCAAGGGGGAGGCACCGGTTCAATCAGAAGTGCCATTATTGTACATCTGATCAACACCACCTACAACATCTCAACTGATTCTTTCAAAGTAATTTACAAAGTAAACAGAAACCTACCAAAAGCAATATGTTTCCGATTTCTCTGTACTGCAGAAGCCTTCACAATATGCATCGGGAAGCCGGAGCCTTTGTGTTCAAAAGAAATTAGAAATTCAGCTCTACAACTGCCATTGACATTGTTTGGTGTGTTCCGTTTTTCCTTCTTTCGTTCCCCTTTTTTTGATCGTTTTTCGTTCGCTGTACGTGTGTGTGTGTGTGTGTGTGTGATTCTTACTCCCGGTGTCTTCATTCGGCTCACGCCATTTCTGTTTTCAGTTATAAAAACAGTTACTTTAAGTTTGTTTACATGCTCTATTTTAAAATTATATCTTAATCCTGTGCAATTTTTGTGTTTCTATGCCCCTTGTAATCTATATTCATTCGTGTGAAGAGGAGTTGAAAGAATATGGATTAACATGGATTCAGGCGAAAAGTATAGCAGAAGACAGAAGAAAATGGAGACGTACAGTTGAAGCCTTATGTTCCACTAGGAACCCAAGGGAGCAATAATAATAATAATTCGCTGTCGTAATACTGTGGAATCAAACAAGAATTGTTTTGTATGCATGTGAAATTATGTATTTATTTATGAATTTATTTTATTTATTTTTGATTACAGCTTGTTTCCACACTGTATTTTTGGTACAAGTGTGGAATTTTCAGCATGTGATATCGGTAGCCCAAATTTTGCAGGTCGACCATAGATATCAATCAGGTGTGCGTCAGTGGCAGGGGATCGAACCTCGGACCATGTGAGGCATGGTCCGCGAGTGTCCTAACCACTGGGCGATTGATTGTAAAGCTACTTTTGAAAAATGAAATCTCCGAAAAGATTATCATCTTTTCTGAACTTCATGTTCTCTCTTTTTTCTAACCTTTGAACTAGTTTAAACCTGTACAAATACCGCTGTATTGTTGTTACAGGTCTTCCTCGAAAATAACTTGGTGCATTTTGTTATCTCTCTATGGCTGTCTGACTAAACTTATTTTCCCCACTATCGGTTTCGGAGGGATTTAATTTTGATTGGATGGAGGACTTAATCATGAGCTGACATCAGTTATAGAGCCAGTGGAAAGCTGTTTCCTCCTAGTGTGCTGCTCCTCTTGTAACGAGAAGGTCCTGGCTTCGAACATTGGAGAGAGGTAGGTAGGTGCCTACCGATGAAGAGTTCCAATGGAGTCTGTAGAAACAGGTGTCCATTACACTCCTTGGAGGTCTTCTCCAATAATAAATCATGGTATATTATGATTTTCTTTTCTTTTCTTTTTTTTTTCACTTCAGGTGCATGTTGCTCGTCGTATGCTAATGTCATCCAGTAATATAGGTGTTCCGCCTACATCACTGTCCTCATCTATATCAACAGTTGATGTAGTCGCTATAAATAAATTTCGTTGGCATACATCTGGTTCATACTTAGCCGCTGGTGATGATATTGTTCGTGTCAGTATATGCAGCGTTCACGAAAGTCTTTCACAACCAAACACTGAAAATTGGTCAACATTTTCACATATACTAGCTGATTTTAAACACTATGAAATGGAGCCTGAGATGATCGACTCAGAACATCAACAACAACAACAACATTTTTGAATAAAACACAAAGAAAAAATAAATCAATAAAATCTTTCAAAAATCTCACTTATCATTATTATACAGGTATTGCTACAAATCTGCTGCTCCGTACCACTACCACTCCTCGTCCTCCTACTGTGGTGTTTATTTTATTCTTTGTTTTTTAATTTTTGTTTTGACTTTCATTAATTTATTTATTTTTGTTTATTTATTTTATTATTTATTTATTTTTATTTTATCTCACTTGAAGGAGTTTTTTTGGTTTTTAGTTTTTTAAACATGTCTGTCTGTCTGTCTGTCTGTCTGGATTCAACATAGAACTTGGCACCGAAGTGCACCAGTTCGACTTGCCACGTTCCAAATAGAACACACAAAGGTAGACAAGAAGATGAGTGAAGAGAATCAATAGAGTTTGACAAGTATAAGAGTGAAACAGAATGGGTAATGGTAGAAAGGAATATGAAAGATTACAGAGACTGAATACATGTGCGCTGGCCATTGACAACGATCACTTTGAGCCATGTGTCACCTATTGTCTCCAGCCACTGATTGATTCCTAGAGTCAGTCCAGAGGGCCCCAACCCGGGAGTCTGCATCTCCCTATCTACCTGACTCAGTTTAACTGTAGAGGATTTCATGGATTGATGCCATGTTTTTGTTTGGCCACCACTGGCTCTTTTCCAACCTGCACCTATATCAGCTAGCAAACATGGTGTTGCATCGACTTCACTCACTGACTACGTTTATTTCGCATAGAGGCAGACGGAGAGAAACAGCCGCCAGACGGGTGATATTTCCTTAATATATGTTCATTTTTCTTTGTTGCACTCTTCTTTAGATATCAGTGATAAATAAATAAATAAATAAAAACAACAACAACTTGAATTGGGAATATTTATAATATAGTTTGTGATTTTTATTGTTAACTCGCTACTCCCGCTACTACTGATGTGTGTAACAACAGAAGACAGGGTCTGGACAAACAGATTGTTTGTTAGCAGAAAAACGCAGTCTTCTGATTGGTGGTGCTAACTAAATTCTTATGTTCCAACAATCCAACTACCCCTGACCTCCTACTACTAGTTTGACTGACCTATGTAGTTGACCTAACTGACAGTCATTATAGAGTATTTTGTAAGTGATATAATTTTGTCTAATCGGGTCAACCGACAGGGTCCCTAAGTTAACTTAACATACAGAGCTTGTCCTACCTGAGTGAGTGAGTTTGTAGGTTTAAGTGCCACCTGCTTTGTTTTTAAGGATCCTACGTAGGGATTGAGTGTCTCAGATGATCCCTCCCTCCTTATATGGTTTAGCAATCCATGGTAAACGGATTTTGATTTTGATAACATAAATTACAATAGTCATCTAATTCAGTGATCTCAACTCACTGAACAAATCTTGATGTCATAAACTGTAACCGCTTCTGCTTTTTGGAGTTCCTATGTGAACCTACTGCGTCGGTGGCACAGTGGTTAGGACTCTCGCCGACCATGCACATGGTCCAGGGTTCGAGCCCTCGCCGACGCACACCTGATATCTATGGTCGGCCTGCAAAATTTGGGCTACCGATATCCATGCTGAAAATTCCATACTTGTACCAAAAATACAGTGTGGAATCAAGCTGTAATCAAAAATAAAAAAATAAAATAAATAAACACTGTTCTGTTAATCAATCTTTCTGTTTTCTGTCTTACCCCTCCCCCTCTTTTCAACTTCGAAAGCGTATAAATTGATGATGAAAACTTAAACTAAAACATTGTAATGCTGCTTTCATTTTGGATGCGTCAATCTTATCTCTTCTTTAGTACCACTCGAACATTAAAGTAATTTATTATCATTTATATAACCATTGTAATTTCAGGTAGTAGTGTGCAGCTGATGAGAACCTGTGAAATAGAATGATGGCATCATTTTATACTGCAAGTTTCGTCTTCCTTTCTTTATCGAAATTTATCAAGGGAATCAATTGTATGAAGTTTATGATTTTTATTGTATTGTATTGCAACAAATCGTTTATTGACGAAATCAATCGATATTTGTTAGCAGACAAACACCACAGTCTTCTGATTGGTTGTTGCATCTCTTTATGACTATTTCTTGAAGGTCAGATTGTATATTCAATCTGTCTGGTAATTGTATCCGCCTACGCAAACAAAGTGTGCTGTGATTGATTGTTGGTTGAGTCACTCAATCAGTCTTTGTTCTTCTTGTTCTTTTTATTTTTCTCATGATCAATCAATATTGGGAACATTTGGAACATTGACGTAAATTACTGTCTACGAATTTTGGCTAGTTAGCAGACAGCTGTCACCACAATTACAGAATAGGTGGAGTAGTGATTGACTGGGTAATTTAGATATACTAAGTTTAGTAAGGCCGCTATAGAGCAGTTAGTCAGTAGGACTATTAGTACCTTACAAGACCATGACGAGGTTGTGGCTTTAGTTGGTTCTTTTACACCTTAGTTTTGAGGTGTTGCACAGCGAGATAACAATGATAATAATAATGATAATAATTTTCTTTATTGCAAAACATTATCTGCGATACAGAATGGAATTCTCACCATTTCACTACAGTATTCCATCCATTTAGTGCATTAACAATAAACAATAAATAAAATCCTACATAGATATTATGGGTGGGTAGTCTCAGTTAGTTATGACAACAAGATATTGGCATGTCGGTTAGTAGCAAAGCCAAAATTGAACAGAATGTTGTTTGAAGGTGTTAGAAAAGTAGATACTACTAGCATATTTACTGGCCTTAGTAAGCGGTAACAAAGGCCGAGATATACACAGGGTGTGAGAGGAAGAAGAAGAATGTTTTAAGTGGATTTTTTTTAGATAGAGAGAAACAAAACAGCACATAACAGAAAAAAGAGAGAGAAAAGGAAAAGAGAGAAAACGTTGTACCGTTAAATGATATGAGGAGTTGGGAAGACGAGATCCAAATTGTTCTACTGACTATTTAATAAGTTATAGGTATCACGCCTAATGCTTTCTTCTGAGTCGCACAGAACTCGAGCTAAGTAGGGTATGGTTGAGTTTTTGGACCGTTCACAAATAATTTAAAGAGCAAAGTCAACAAACAAATAGGTAGATTGTCAACAAAGTAAAATTAGAAATATAAAATAGGTGGACAAGTAGTGCAGCCAGAAGGGTGAGACAAAGGAGACTCAATGGCGCTTCAAGTGATTTCAATTGAGACTCGCTGATAAATTCAATATATCACTGCTCCATCAAAAGTGATACGGCTGCTTGTAAATAGTTTCATAAGCGGCAGACTTTATGAAAAAAAAGAAATAGGAGCGTAATAAATTCTATTTCCACCACGTCTTCGATCCTTCGTTAGTTTCCATGACATAATCTGTTATGATTTAATGGCAATATATCCTTTTCGACATTCTGCTGGGCATTTGTTATCTGAGAAACTGGTTATATCACCCATTTGTCGGTAGTAACTCCATGCAGGAAAACTTTGTTACCTCAACCTTTCGTCACACGATTTTTACCTCAACCTCCTGCGTCGAACTTCTTTGGTACCTTGTCAAGATGTTTTTGCCACTTTGAGGTGGGAATGTTGCTGGCAGAAATATTACTATGCCCCTCAGACTGAAGTTATATACATTTTTTATGCAAATTTAGAAGGAGTCCTGGCACAATGGCACGAAAATGCCTACAGGCTGAGTGAGAAGAACTCATGCCGTGCACAGGTTACAAGGTTAATTCGCAATTGCATTAGTTTTGTCCATTAGAGCGGAGAGTAAATTGTGCTGTGACGCTCGCTGTACAGGTCAAGTTATCACCACCTAGGTAGGGGGTAACTTGACCTCTTCATCGTATGCTAATAACTGCCTTGCTTTTGATGAGGTTGAAAAGCATTCCATGCACTTGTACTCAATCTCCTTTAGGTTTTAGGTATACCTCAGACCTGTTTGGTTCTTATTTTAGATGCTGACGGTATTGACGTTCACGGATAGTACGAAGTATACTAACAAAAGATCTAATACTCACCCACAACTTTTATAGTATTCGTTCAGTGTAGACCAAAAGCAAAACAAAACACGATAGTTCATCGTCCAAATTACGAGGTATATTTCGGGACCAATTCTGAGTGCGAGATGACTGCTTGCGTTACATTTGCGTTTGAACTCTTTCATACTGTAAACAAGCAGGGCACTAAAAGCCGTTAGTAGGGAGGGCAAGTGGGATATCGTTAAACCAACTGGTTAACACTATTGTAGATAGACATATTATGTCATGTAAGAAACAAGCGAATACAATATTGTCGGATCCCGAGGATCCTCTCTATACGCAACTATCTCCTTGCATTTCATCTGGTAGAACTAGAAGCAGCTATCGGCGGCTATATGCTAGGACTACCAAATACAAAAACTCCACAATACCATATCTGGAACAGCTGTTATGTGCGTGATGAGAAATCCGTTAGGTATGACATGATAAACTTACTGCGGCACTCCAGCAAATAGTCCCATTAGTTTTTGTTTTCCTTTCCTCGTTACTACTACACTGTTGTTCTCATCTTCTATCACACACCAACTTTATATTTCATATCCTGTGGTGCGTTGTTTGAAATGTAAACTCTACGCTGTTTTTAAAAAAAATTTTTATTTATCTTTTATTTTTTTGGCGTTGGTTTTTTCATTTATTTATTTTTCTTTTGATTTTAAAAATCTTATAAAATTTATGAGGTAATTAGATGCAATAAACTGTAATGCACGCTGAAAATTCCATACCTGTACCACAAATACTGTTTGGAATAAAGCTGTTATTATTATTATTATTTACACACAATATCTGCTAGAAACTTTCGAATTTTCACATTCTACACAGAGAAATACATTAGAGATACATTTACGCCTTGGAATTATTGTTTAAACTCTGTTTTCACTGACAATGCCCCCTCTGCAGGTTTTGGATGTATATTTTGTGGGATGTATCAGGCTCAATTCAGTGAGTCTATTCAATTTGTTTAGAAGTTTTACGCTGGATATT